AAAAAAAAAGAAAAAAGATCTTGAGTTAATTTTTCCTGGGCTAACCTCAGAACATGAATCTTTATTTCCGCCTCTTGAGTAGTGTGTTCTTTGAAAATACAGATAGTAGCACAATGTAAATTGTAAATGTGTGTGTGAAAAACAGAAAAACATTGCTCACTTGTTCTTGAACATAACAGTGATTCACATGTTTCCTTCAGATTTACCTATGCCTAATGAGAGAAATGATGCACAACCCGATTCTCCACCTGCAAAGAAAAATAGAATAGGGTTTTTCCAGACTTATGATGCAGAATATTTAAAAGTCGGTTTTATCATCTGTCCTGGATCAAAAGAGAGTTCACCAAGGCCACAGTGTGTCATTTGTGGAGAGATTTTACCCAGTGAAAGCATGAGGCCAGCAAGCCTTTCTCATCACTTGAAGACAAAACATTCAGAATTGGAAAACAAACCAATAGATTTTTTTGAACAAAAATTTCTTGAAATGGAACGTCAAAACAGTTCTTTAAAAAAATGTTTACTAGTTGAAAAGTCACTTGTGAAAGCTTCTTATTTAATTGCTTTCCAAATTGCTGCCAGCAAGAAGCCATTCTCCATCGCTGAAGAATTAATTAAACCATATTTAGTAGAAATGTGTTCAGAAGTTTTGGGTTCAAGTGCAGGAGACAAAATGAAAACCATTCCTCTTTCTAATAATACAATTGGCTATAGGATTGAAGAGCTCTCTGCAGATGTTGAAGATCAGCTGATTCAGAAGGTCAGAGAGTCGAAGTGGTTTGCCCTTCAGATAGATGAGTCATCCGAAATCTCAGACGTCACCCTTCTCTTGTGCTATATTCGTTTCATTGACTATGATTGTAGTGATGTAAAAGAAGAATTATTATTTTGCATTGAAATGCCTTCTCCAGTCTCTGGTACTAAGATCTTTGAAGTAATAAATAAATACATTGATAGCAAATCCCTGAGTTGGAAACATTGTGTTGGTCTCTGTACTGATGGAGCTACCAGCATGACTGGCAGGTATTCTGGTTTAAGGTCAAAAATTGAGGAAGTGGCCATGAATACAATGGCATTCACACATTGTTTTATTCACCGGGAACATCTGACAGCTGCAACGGTATCTGCATGCTTACAAGAAATTCTTTTACAGTCAGCACAAATTTTAAGTTTCATAAAAAGCAATGCATCAAACTCACGAATGTTAACGATATTGTGTGAAGAGCCAGGGTCTGAGCATGTGAATCTACCACTTCATGCTGAGGTTCGTCAGATATCAAGAGGGAGAGTTTTAACGAGATTGTTTGAATTGCGAAATGAAGTTGAAATATTTTTAAATCAGAAACATTCAGATTTGGCTTCTTATTTTCATGATGAGGAATGGGTTGCAAAGTTGGCCTATTTAGCAGATATATTTTCGCTTATAAACGAATTACATTCAGGTCTCCAAGGAAGCATGACGACTTTCTTCAGTTTGTATAACAAAATGGACATATTTAAGGAAAAGTTAAAATTGTGCTTGAAGTACACACAGGAGAGTGATTATGACATGCTTCCTTCATTATCTGAGTTTGTGAAATCAACAGACTTAAATGTGAAAAGCATTACAAGCGTCATTTTTGAGCATCTGCAAGGACTTTCTCAACTGTTCCATGACTGTTACCCACCAGAAAGAGACTTGCGTTCAGGAAATTTGTGGATAGTTAATCCTTTTATGAATCACCAAAATAATAATTTTACTGTTGTGGAAGAAGAAGAACTGACAAAGTTATCTTCAGATTTAGGATTGCAATCAGTATTTAAATCAGTGTCTGTAACTCAGTTTTGGATAAATGCAAAGGCAGATTATCCAGAACTCCATGAAAAGGCAATGAAATTTTTATTGCCCTTTTCTACTGTTTACTTGTGTGATGCTGCCTTTTCAGCTTTGGCTGAGTCAAAACAGAGAAGCTTGTTGATTTCTGGCCCTGCTCTACGACTGGCAGTCACATCCTTAATTCCAAGAGTAGAAAAGTTAGTGAAGGAGAAAGAATAGCAACCTGCATATTGCTTATCATTAGAGTCTATAATTTTGTGTGAAATTTTGTATAAGTATCCTACAATATAATTTCCTAGTGTGGATTTGTGTTTTCAATAATTAAAGTCTTTAATAATTTTTCTTTGTGGAGAGACTTGGTAATTGTACATTTATACATAATTATGTATAATTTTAATACAAGGTAGAAAATTTAGCTAATATTAGCTAATAAACTTGGGTTGATGACCAAGATTGAAGGTAATTAAAGACCTAATTTGTAATAGCCCTACCTGGATTTTTTTTCTTTCGGTCAGTTGTGGGGCCTGAACTCGGCCTGGGCACTGTTCCTCAGCTCTTCAGCTGAAGGCTAGCACTCTACTATTTGAGCCACAGCAACACTTCTGGCTTTTTTGCTTATGTGGTACTGAGGAATCGAACTTAGGGCCTCATGCATGCAAGGCAAGCACTCTACCACTAAGCCACCTTCCCAGCCTCTGGATGTTTAAACAGTACATTTAGAAAGTACATAGGAAGCTGGACACAGGTGGCTCATGTCTGTAATCCTAGCTACTCAGGAGGCTGGGATTAGGAGATCCCAGTTCAAAGACAGCCTAGGCAGAAAAGTCTTATGAGATTATCTCTAATTACCCAGTAAAATAAATAAAAGCTGGAAGTGGCAGTGTGGCTTAAGTGGTAAAACTCCAGCCTTGGGTGAAAAAGCCAAGGGATAGCAAACAACCGGGCCCTGAGTTCAAATCCCATTTCAGGCACACACAAGGAGGGAAGGGGAATTTCATTCTCTAGCCAGTCCCTGACATCCCACAGATGGAAACAGCATAAATGTTTGAGACTTTCCAGGAAGACCTGCTAGACTAGGACTTGGCAAAAATTTTTCGTAAAGGACCACATAGTAAATATTTTAGACTTGTTTTGTTTTTTCTTGGTCCTGGGGTCTGAACTCTGGGCCTGCGCACTGCGCTGACCCTCAGCTCTTCAGCTCAAGGCTAGCGCTCTACCACTTGAGCCATAGCACCACTTCCAGCTTTTTCTGCTTATGTGGTACTGATCGAATCCAGGCTTCATTCATGCAAGGCAAGCACTCTACCACTAAGCCACCTTCCCAGCCCTTATTTCCCCTCCCCCTATTGTGGCCACTACTCTGCACTTGCAGTACAAAAACATCTATACATAATATACAAGTGTAGCTTGTATATAAATACTGAGAGGAATTTCAGATGCTTTTCATATGTCACGAAAGCTTTTAGGCACTTTCCATTTAAAAAATATGGGGGCAGCACCGTCAGCTGGCTGATTTGGCCCAAAGTTCACAGCTTTCCACCACTGATGAACGGGCCAGACTTGGTTGGCTGAAGCCAATTTCCATAGCTTCAAATTTCTAGATTCTCAGACGTCTTCCATGTTTTAACTCGAGCTAGAGCAGTTAGGGGTAGGGGGATGTACTGTAATTGTTGGTTATGACTAGTGATTGTACCGTGTACTAATTTACAAACTCCTGAACTCAGGGCCTGGGCGCTGTCCCTCAGCTCTTTCGCTCAAGGCTGGCGCTCTACTACTTTGAGCCACAGTACCAGGTTCGGTTTTTGAGTGGTTAATTGGAGATAGGAGTCTCACTGCGGGGAGCGGGGGGTGGGGTGGGGGGGTCTATCCAAGCCGGCCTCGAACCATGATCCTCAGGTCTCAGCGTCCTTAGTAGGATTACAGCCGTGAGCCACCAGCGCCGAGCACTTCCTGAGCCATTGCAGTGGCCGTCACCAGCGCCTCCAGGGATGCAGACCCTGGGTCTGGCTTGGGTGGCCGGCAGCTAGAGAGGCCTGGGCGGGACCGGTAAGCCGGAGCCTGGCTGTTCTGTAGCCACGTTTACTGGCGGGGAGGTCGAGGCTCAGCCCGAAGTCCAAGGGCCTGACTATCAGATCCGGTAGGTCGCGTCCCTGTCCCCGTCCCGAGTGCTGGGCGCTGGCGCAGACCGTGGCGATCCCGGCCCGCGGGGCGAGGCGAGGGGCGGGAGCGGGTGGTGCGGCCTTCCGGCCGAGCAAAAAGACAAACCACGCGGGGCGGGGCGGGGCGGGGCGGCTCGCGGGCAGCCCGGGGCGGCCGAGCGCTGGGCCCGGGGCAGGCGCGGCCATGGCGCGCGCGCTCGCCGCTCTGCGCTTCTTGCTGGGCGGCTTCTTCGCGCTCACCGGAGCGGCCAAGCTCTCGCAGCTCTCTTCTCCGGTGTCGGAGCAGATGGTGAGCGGCGCGGCGCGGCGGGGCGGGAAGGGACCTGGAGGCGTGCACTCGGCCTGGCCGCCCCGTCTAGTTCCCTGCGGGGTCCGACCGCGCTGGGGCTGGGACCTTCCTTGGGGGTGCGGGGGAGGGGGGTGGCGGGGAATCCTCGAGGTCTCTGCTGCTCTCCCAGGTGGAGGACATCGAACCTCCACCCCTGGTCGAGAATGCAATCCCCGGGCAAATTAAGAGTCCAAGGGATCTTGGGGGGTGGGGGGGAGGAACGGAGGGAGTGACCGAATGCCCCACTTCCTGGTCCTTGGGAGCCTGGTAAGGCCTGGTTTGTAACCCCCACGGTGGGGATGGGGCAGGGAGGGGGGACAGGGAGGGGGGGGCGAGGGTAGGAACAAGTCTGAGGGTGATGCATAATTTGACAAAAGTTTCACATCTAGTCCAGAAACAGCACCCAAACCAAGTCCTCCTAATTCAGGAACCTGAAAGAGAGGCCTAGAAGTCACCCTCCAGCCTCCTCTCTGCCCCTCTCTTCTTCTGTGCCACCTCTAAATAGTCCCTTCATAGCATCCTGAAGAAGGAAGCAGGCATGGTCCAAAGGAAAAGAAAAATCTGGAGTTCTCAAAGCCTTGGCCGGAGATGGGACAGCTCAAGCCTGGCTCCCTCCTCCTGGGACTTGGAGAGGTCTTGCGAGAAAATCAGGCCATCTCTGCACCACCCCAAGTCCTGTACACTGTTTCCTGATTCCAAAGCTCAGCCCCAGAAGGGAACCTTTTTTTCTCCAGGCTCACCTCAGGCCTTGACCTAATCTTAGAGGCATATTTTGTTGGAGGAATCAGGCCTCAGCTCCTGTTGACTCAGGGCAACTTGTCCTTGGTCAGTGTTGCTGATTGGCATTCTCCACCATTCCCCTAGAAAGCCCTGTTTGTGCAGTTCACTGATGTGTTTCCGTTGAAGTTGTTCGGCTACCAGCCAGATCCCATGAACTATCAAACAGCGGTGGGCTGGCTGGAACTTCTGGCTGGGTTGCTGCTGATCCTGGGCCCACCGATGCTGCAAGAGATCAGTAACTTGCTCTTGACACTGCTCATGATGGGTAAGGGAGCCAATTAGCCTTGGGAATTAGGGTCTTCTGGGGTGGGGGAAGATGATGGAAAGATCTGGCTGTCTCCCTTTTCTCTGAGTCTTGGTACACTTCCTGCTCAGCTGCATCTTCTGTGAGCTTCAAGACTAGGGCAGGTACTTTGGGAATTTAATGTCCTGCACTGACTCAGGTTAAATTGATTTTCTCCCATATCACTTCTATGGCTGTATAATATTCTATTGTGAGGATGTTTTGTAACCACCAAGCCCCTACTTGTTCTGCCACAAGCTCACTTTTGGGAGGAGCAGCAGCTGCCACTTGACTTACACACCTGGCAGTTAGGAGTAGTGAGCAGAAAAGCAGGGGGCACAGAGCTTCTCTAGAAGGGCTTCTGCTAGAAGCTTTGCCCACAGAACTGGAGATCCACAAAACAGCTATGGCTTAAAAGGCCAGACATGGGGGCTGGGAAGGTGGCTCAGTGGTAGATTGCTTGCCTTGCATGAGGTCCTGGGTTCGATTCCTCAGCACCACATAAGCAGAAAAAGCCAGAAGTGGCACTGTGGCTCAAGTGGTAGAGCGCTAGCCTTGAGCTGAAGAGCTGAAGGACAGTGCCCAGGCCCATGACTAACCAAATAACAAAAAAAGACAGACATGGGTCATCATTTTTTTTGTATGTATGTGCCATTATTGGGGCTTGAACTCATAGCGGAGGCACCATCCCTTAGCTTTTTCACTCAAGGCTAATTTGAGTCACAGCTCTTCCAGGTTTTTGCTTGTTTGTGGGCGGGGGGCGGTAATTTGAGAGAAGAGTCTCAGGGACTTCCTTGCCTGGGCTGGCTTCAAACAATGATCCTTAGATCTTAGCCTCCCGAGTAGCTAGAATTACAGGTAAACACCATTATTATTGCCACAACTACAGCCTTGTCTCTTCTCTGATGTTTTTTCCATTTCTAGAACTTTCTTCCTTTTTCAGATCTTTGCCACTCTTCCACCACCAGTTCCTCTGCCTGCTTCTGCCAGTATGATGTAAGATTAAGAAAGGAGAAGAGTTGGAGAGAATTTGTTCCCAAATCTTCACCCACTCACCTCAGCCCCTACTGTTTGACTGGAATGTTTCTGTTTCTTTCTTGTCACTTGTAAGATACTTCTGATACTCAGTCCTACTTTCTTTGGGGAGGCCAGACAGGAGTGCAGCTGATTTGTGGGGCAGGGTGCTTAATGGAAGGAGTGGGACTGGGGCAGTCAGCCCAAGATGGAATCTCCTGGGTGCCCCTCAGGGACCTCACCTTGCATTCCAGGGGCAATCTTCACTTTGGCATCTCTGAAAGAATCACTGAGCACCTGCATCCCAGCCATTGTTTGTCTGGGGCTCCTGCTGCTGCTGGACATCTGTCAGCTCTTAACCCAAACTAAGAAGGTGGTCAGATCCTCTAGGAGGAAGACTCGCCATGCATTCAGAGAACCTTGGAAGACTCTTCAAGCCATGTAGCTACCAGTGCTGGAACATGCTGGAACACACAGTCTACTACATTTCTATGTGTGGGGTTGAAGATACCTTGTCTACCTGGCTTTGATAGTTCTGTACTGTTCTGTTTAGAGAGGTACACACTAGACATACTAACATTTCACATAGCATGTAAATGTAGAAAATAAACTCACAAGAAATTTAAATCACTCATAATTCCAATGTCCTGAAATAATCCCTTTTAATGATTTAGTATAATGGTACCTCTTGACCTTTTTGTTCCTTTATATAGATATATATTTTAAAAATGAAAACAGGACCATATAACCTACTTCATTACTTGCTTTCAGAACC